AAAAAAAAAAAAAAAAATTTAAAAATTGTGGCCTGGTGACAGCGTCATAAAGATTATTGAATTTCACATGGCATCTATCATTATAAATTTCTTCACAAGTATTAACCATTAGAAAAAAGAATAATATGGTAGGAGGCTCAAATTTGTTCACCTTCTACACCCTCTCTGTGTAAAGTCACATTGCTATAAATTTTCTGCACCCCACTTGTTTGATTAATAAATATTTCACAGTAAACTCAAGAAGTGCTTAAATTTCACCTGGAAATAATAACTATTTTATGTAACAGTGTTTGATCCCATAGTCACAAAACACGCCAAAGTGTTTTAAGATAAAAGATGACTCTTCTATTGTGAGATAGGAAGAAAATGCTCAAATGGGAAGGGGCACTAGGGAGGAGGGAGAGCAAAAGAGGGAAGGAGAGGGTAGGAGGAAAACATGGAAACAAAGCTTTTGTGAATAAGGAGGGGAAGAAGGGTTGAAGGGAGGGGAGGGGGATGGGAAAAAAAGAAGCAACGAGGCATACCATGCGCAGATTCCCTACGGTGAATGTTATCATTATGTATAAGTCAAATGTACCAATAAGTGTAATTTTTTACGAAGATTAAAAATAACTAAGTCTATTAGTGTTCTCTTGTTTCTGTAACTTTACTACAGATAGTAGTGGCAGCCAATCCTAATGTATTATCTACAGTTCTGTGGGTTACAAGTGTGACAAAAGCCTCTCCAAAATGAAACTGGAGCACTGGCACGTTTGTATCGCTTTCTAGGAGCTCTGGGAGAGACTCTGCTTCCTGGAATCTTCCACTTCTAGAGCCTGATCATGGTCCTTCCCACATGGTCAGAGAGTGCTGCTCACATGACATCCTTTGTCCCTTCAGCCCTCTAGCTCCTCCATCCCACCTTTAAGAACGTTGGGGATTGTCTTAGTTACTGTTCTCTCGTTGCTTGGACAAATACCCGACACTCAAAATAAAGGAAGAAAAGGTTTATTTAGCTCACAGTTACTGGAGGTTTCAGCCCATACTCAGCTGGCTCTGAGGCAGAGCAGCACATAGCAGAAAGCAACCTTTCATGGTGGTGGCAAAGAGCAAGAGCTCAAGGGAGGGGTAGCAGCAGCTCAAGCGGCTAACTTCTCTTCCCCCCTTACATTATAATGCCAATTACCTGCCCCACGGCAGGTGCAGCAACCACACCCACAGTAATCATTCACAAACTCCAGAATCCACCCCAAGACAGCATGAGGCTTTGGGGGGACACCTGTACACAAACCATAACATTCCATCCCTGGACCCCCAAAGACTCATGTACATCCTTTTATGCAAAAGACATTCTAGTCCATCTCTAATAGTTGCCAAAGTCCCAAAAGTTTCAGCATTGCTGAAAAGTCCAAGTCCCAAGTCTCCTCCAAGATCCAAGGTAAACTCTCAGCTGTGAGCCCCTGTACAAATGAAAACTTAGATACATCCAACATTCCAAGGCACAAGATAAACATTACCATTCCAAAAGGTACACACAACAGGATACCAAGCATTGGGACCAACACAAGTCCAAAATCCAGCAGGGCAGACATTAAGTCCTGCAGTTCCATGAGGGACATCCCAAGCAATCTGTGATGAGTTGTGAACTCCATGAGGCTGCGCCCCTGTGGCACTCATGGTAGCTCCCATGGCTTCTCTCTTAGGCCGGCTCTGCTCCCTCTTTGCATTTTCCCTTAAATGATCCCCATTCCTGGATTTTCCAAACTTCTGAGATTTCCACTGAATAGGCTTCTCACTCACAGCTTCACACACTGCCCTCTCAGGGGCACACTTCCTGGCCTCCCAGGCCTTCTTCTGAAATCGAGGTGGAAGCCTTCTTAACCTCAGAACTCCTGCTTTCTGAATGCACCTAAAACATGTGCCGCATGGATGATGCCAAGGTCTGCTGCCAGCTGGAGCAGTAGCCAGGTTTCCTTCTCTCTTGGCTGTAGGGGTCGAGTGCCTGGATTGCTGAGCACTCTGACCCTGATTCCAAGGAATAATTTCTCCACACCAGCGCCATTCTGGAAACTGGTGTGGCCACTGCCGCCATTCTGGTCTTCTGAGCTCTGACCAGAATCTCCCAAACAGAACAGCCGAAGCTGTTCCAGTGCTTCGCTTGTAGGCAACATCTCTGAACCTTTCCTATCTCTTCCCATAAGCCATTCCCAAAAGCTTGTAATCCACATGGTCAGGTTTAGCCACAGCAACGACCCCACTCCTGCAGTACCAAATTCTGTCTTAGTTACTCTTCTCTCATTACTGGGACAAATACCCGCCACCCAAAATGAAGGAAGGAAAGGTTTATTTATCTCACAGTTACTGGAGGCTTCAGTCCACACTCAGCTGGCTTCAAGGCAGAGCAGCACATGGCAGAGGTCAACCTTCCATGGTGGCAGCAAAGAGCAAGGGCACAAGGGAGGGGTAGCAGCAGCTCAAGCAGCTAGCTTCTCTTCCCACCTTCCATTGTAATTCAAATTACTTGCACCAGGGCAGGTGCAGCATCCACACCCACAACAATCAATCACAATCTCCAGAAGCCACCCCAAGATCACAAGAGGCTTTGGGGGGACACTTATACACAAACAGTAACAGGGATTATAATTATTGCAACCATCAGAATACGCCCAAAACAATCTTTATTCTATATTGTATTTTATATATTTATGTACATATATATTTTTCAGTACAAGGGATTGATCCTAGGATCTTTACATTGAGCTAAAAACCTAGCCCTTTTTTATTGTTTGAGATAGGGTCTCACTAAATTGGTTACCCCAGGTTGGGCTCAAACTTAGGTACTCCTGCAGCAGCTTCATAGAGTGCTGGGGGTTACAGGTATGTGCCACCACTCTCAGCTATTACATACAATTTTTTTCTATCAATAATACTGTAATAAAGCTGTTAACAGTTTTGTCTTACAATTATACGTAGAAAAATGGCTTCCTAATGGTGTCCGTATCCTAATTCCAGGGAACGGAGAACATGTGATTTTCTATCATCAAAGTGAAGTTAAGTTTTCTAATTAGCTGACCTTAAACTAGGAAGATTATTCAGGCTCAGCACACATACCTGCAAACCCAGGAGTCTAGGAGATGAGGCAGAAGGATGCCTCCATCCGCACCCACTCCACGGAATGTTTTTGACTGATTCTCTGGCTCAGCCTAGTCTTTTTGCCACATAAGAGGTGTTTTTCTTTAATTTTTTAAATTAATTTTATTGAGAAACAAATAACAATAAGACAGTTTCAAAACCAATTAATAGGACAGTCTCAACAATTAATACATTGCATATTGTTGTCTTCATAGTGGTTATTCATAGTACAAGATGTAGACATGATACCTGTCCAAACACTATTAGTACAAATCTTTCTTCTCATTGAATTAAGAGAAAGTAGCTGTATATCTATCCTATTTTGTATATACAGATATAAAATGGTCCTTCCTTTGTATCTCCTTTTTTGTTTAGTTTTGTCAGAGATGGGCATTCCATTGCCATTTAAATATTGTAGGTGTATGAATTTAGCAAAATATTCCAATATACTCCAGTAGTCCATAGTAGTAGTGGGTTATCTGTAGGACTGGCAATGTCAGAAGTTGTTGACTTGAACCCTTTACAGCTCAGCATATTGATATGGCTTTACTTTTCATACCTTGTTATACTTTTCTAATGGATTCAAGGTCATCTTTGGCAACTTATCAAGACCCTGTCTCAAAATAAAAAGGGTAGGTAATAAATGAAGAGTGTGCCTAAGGAGAGTCACATGGAGAGAAAACGTTCTCTCAGGATTTCACAGAGAGCACATTGGCCAAGCAATGGCCTTGACTCATCCACATGGCTGACACTGACAAAGAATCTACAATCTGAGGTACAGGATCTCAGGATAAATCCTGAGGGGATTTCACTGACCTTATCAGACCCAAAAGCTACAACTCTTGCTGCATATGTCTTGCTTTATCTTGGTATAAGAAGTTTTTAAGTACAAGCTTTTGTTAGCTGTGCCTAGAAGAATACTGGAGAAGCAAGTTGCCCTTATTTCCCTTACTGACTTACCAAAATAGATTGATATTACATCTCGCTTATTAAAGAGGAAATTTAGAGGTCCAGGGAGATAGCTCAGTGGAATAAGTGCTTGCCTAGCAAGTGCAAGGTCCTGAGTTCAATCCCTATTACCACCAAAAAAAAGGAAACAGGAAAAGACGTTAACGTTTAAGAAGGGATAAACCCAGGACCTATAACATTTGATCCTAAAATTAAACACAAATAGATAAAATATGTACACACATACCGATGATTTCATGTCTAGACTGTAGCTCCTTTGAAAGTGGTTTGGAATGTGACTAACTTTTTCCAAAGGTGCTGAGTACTTTTGAAAATCATTTGTAATTGCAGAGAGATTATTTTCAAAGGATTATATATCTTGATTTCTCAAACGTTCCTAAATTTAATTTCTAGAAAACCCAAGAATCATTTATTGGAGTCAGTGGTGCTAAATTTTGAATCAAAATTATAGTAATGCCTCCAAAATTCAAATAGATTTTAAATCAAATGTCGGATAAAATAAGCATCACAGTGCCAGCCAGATAGTTCAGCAGAGTAGAGACCGGGGTTCAAGCCCCAGTGTGCCATCCTGGCCCTGCCCCTGGGGCACACTGAGACATTGATTGATTGAGACTGGGCGTGGTGGTGCGTGCCTGTAATCCCATTACTTGGGATGCTGAAAACAGGAGGATCACCATGAGTCTGATCTGTGTAGTGAGACTCTGTAGACCCTGTACTAAATACAAAAGCAATAATAATAATAATAAGCATCACTAAAAACATATGTAGTCCCCAAAGTTATTTCTGAATTTTTTTTAGTATATGTGCTGCCGAAGCGAGCACGTATTTCTGAATTTTTAAAAGAACCCAGTTTAGACTTATTGTTAAAATGTGTTGTCTAGTTTACACACAGTTCATCCTCTCTACATGGATTTCTTTAAATCTTTCCAGCTACACTAGCTTTCACTTCTACTTTTTCAGGTCCTCATAGACTGTACCTCTCATAATCATAGATTTAGCCTGCCATCAGTACCGCTGACCTGCTTTAGCAGTCTCCTTAGAAAGACCTTTACTAAATGTGAGCCCCATAGGAGCAGAGTGTGAAAGTGAGAAGGGTAAGGAGAAAAATCTCACACTGGGTTCCTGAGAAAGCACTGGGAGCCACTGTGAAGGAGAGGAGGGACAAATTTATCCACATGTCCCCCTCCATCAGAGGTCACCCCACCAGCCTGCATCCTGCACTTCTGCATTACACAGTCATGGACCCAAAGGAAGACCCACTGTACCTCACGCCGAGCTAACAGGCCCTCGATCATGTGGTGAGGACTGCCATCAGGTTGTAACTGCGACTGCCAGAGATGATGGAAGCAACTCTGAGTGAGCAGCTCTGTCCTTCTAGGACAGGGACGCACACTGACTGGGTGATCCTGGGAGCCAAAGCCACACACTGCCTCTCCGGTGTCATACAGTGAGCTTGTGTGGGTAAAGCAACTTGGTACACAGACCGCAGCAAACACGAGCTCCTACTGGCCTTGTGCTATCTCTTAGTCTTTCTAATAAAATTCAAGCTTTAAGGACTGACATAATACTTCATTTTTAAATCTTTCATCTGTTCTAAGTATTGTAGTAGTTTGACAATAAATATGTGGCAAATGGTAGCTGCTTTCTTACCTTGATTTAAGGTAAACATGCAGCTATTTGGATTCTACTAATTAGCAAATTGCAGTTAGCATACCATTTTGCCTTTGCACAGAATGTCATTTTGTCTTTGCTCTTTATCAAAAATATCTTAGCCTACATATGTGTATATGTTCTAACTCTGATTATTCATTATGAACGCTTCAATATATCGGCTTTATCATTGTACTATGTTTGATTCCACAAAATATGATTATGGCTTCATCTGCTAAATTCTATGCTTTGAATTGTTCCTACTTGGCAAATAAGTAACTAGTCGTTCTGGAAGCACAGGTGTGCACGCTTTATGGTCTATTTGCTTTCTGAATGGACTAATTACATTCTGCCTGGGCAGAGGCTAAGAAGTGAATTATAAAAGGTCACCCTCATATACTTCATTATAATATTCCAGCAAGGAGTTTGCCAAAACCATGATCAAAATGCACAGGAAGAAGATACATTTACCACGTGTTCTTAAGTGTCAGAAATCAGATCCTATATAAGCCTATTAAGAAATTTGTCATATTCTCTTAATGAATAGAATGATTTTTTCTAATGGTGTTTGTAAGTAGGATCACAAGTCTGCATCTTGTACAGCAATTAACCACTGAGAAGAATGTATGCAGTGTATTATTTGTTGAAACTGTACTTTCAATTTGATTTGAAACTGTCTCATTGCTATATGTTTATCAATAAAATTTTGAAAAGAAATTAAAAAAAAAAAGAGTCCAGTAGTCCATAATAGTATTTGGTCTACTGGACTCTGTTAGAATATTTTGCTGAGTTAACACACCTATAATATTCATATAATGGAACTTAACAAAAAAGGGGATACAGATGAATGTCCATTTTGTATCTGTGTATTCCAAATGGTGAGGATGGTTGTATAGTTACATTCTCTTAGTGAGTGGAGGGATTTGTTCTAATAGTGTTTGTAAATAGGATATCATGTCTGCATCTAGCACAGCAATTAACCACTGGGAAGAATGTATGCAATGTGTTAATTGTTGAAACTGTCCTACCAATTTGGTTTGAAACTGTCTCATTGCTATTTGTTTCTCAATAAAATTATGGAAAAAAAGGAAAAAAAAAAAAAAAAAAGAAATTTGTCATAGTTGGGCCACACTGAGCCAAAGTAGCCAACCAAGTCATCCTGCTACTGATAGGTTTCAGCCCTAGTACGAATTGCTGAATGATTACGGTGGTCATCTAACACAGCTGAAGTCCTTAAGACAGTAGCTTATCTTCCCAATGACCACTTCCTCCTCCTTCCCCAACCCAGGCCTGGATACGGTTTCCTCTCACCTTTCCCAAGCACACAGGGGAGATCTCAATCAGCTCCTTAGGTGTCACTAAACCTGCCCTTCAAACCCACCCCTCGCAAAAGCCTGTGAAAGGCTCAGCTTTCTTTGTCTCAGGTCAGAGGATCACTCCATTTCCCTCAGCTCCTCCCCGTCATTTAGACTCAATGAAAGTCTATGGTCCTACCACCCTGAATGTGCCCAATCTTGTCTGATCTCAGAAGCTAAGCAGGGATGGGCCTGATTAGTACTACTTGGATAGGAGAGTGAGAACTAGTCGATCAAGGCCTCCTTAATCTTTCCCATCTCTTTAATGTACCACTGAAAAACCTCACAGTTTTGAGGCATATGCTCACTCAAGATCACTCTTTGCGACCCAGAAGCTGCCTAGTGGTTCTCACCTCTACTGGGCTTGGTGGCTTAACAAATGGCACCACCCAGGGCTCATCCCAATGCTATACACACTTATGTAGGGGTAGGGCATCAGTCACATCCATGCATGCCCATTTATAGTCCCAAATGGGCAAAGGAGCACCTAGGAAGCCCACATGCATTGCCTGGAGCCTCCTCAAATTCCTCCTGATGGCCATCATAAAATCAGCCAGGACTCTTCCTGGCAAAGAGTCACCCCACTTTACCAAGACAGTAACTGGCAACATGCCTCTTGGTCTGTGGACATAAAGAACCACAATTAACAGAGTGGCAGGCAAAGCTTGTAATTCAGTGAGATACGTACGGGATCCCATGAAGGAAGATGCTGCCAGTGAGGACTCATGCTGATCACCAGAGACCAGAGCCCTAGGCAAGGAAGCAGCATGCTCCCCAGGATCTCACAGGGTGATGGCAGCTCCTGGGTGTTCTCTTAGATCCCATACATATGAACATCCTAGAATTGGAGTTAAAACTTAGCACAAAGTAGGTGGCTTAGCACATCAGGAACTGCTTTCTCACAGATTGGAGAGTCAAGACTCTGAAACTGACGTTGGTGTTTCTTCCTCCTGCAGGCTCCAAGGGGTAAGCAGTCCACATTTCTTTCCCAGATACTAGCACTTTCTGCCACTCCTTGGTACTCCTTGGCTAGGAGCAGTATCTTCCAACCTTACTCCCAATAAGGGCACATTCTGAAGCCCCAACTGACATGACTCTGGGGTGGCATGACTGAACCCATCACACACACACTGCTGCATTCATTCTCCTATTGTCGCTTTCAACTCCACGACATGTCTTATCCCATTCCTCACATTTCCAGTGTAACATCATGCACTGTATGGCTCAAGAAGCAAAGTTGCTTCCGCTGCACCCTGGCCTGCTGCCAAGCCCTTTCCTGCTGTGGGTGCTGCTCAGAGAAGGCAGCCTTCGGCATCAATTAGAACACAGGCCAGAGCACTATCTGCAGGTATGCGATCGCTGCCCGGATGTAGTGGTCAAAGAGACTCAGCAGGGTTTGTGCTTGCTCCCTGTCAAGAGTCTCACTTTGGAGGGGAGGCACCAAGTGTCCCTCACCACTGGAATCCTAAATTGTCTGAGTTTGGCATGAAGTTCCTAAGGCTCATCCCTTGAAGGTTCATGGGGTTGATCTCCCTCTAGAACACCTCACCAAGGCATCAAGGTTTTTGCCCATTGTTTATCCAGCCCGACCATATTTTACGTAAAGGATCTGAATTCCATAGGATAAAGTAACATAGTTAAGGAGGCCCTAGGACATATATTCCATGTACTTTACCATTTGTAACTGGGAACAAAGAAAGCACACCCAGCGTAGCTGTAACAATCGAGGTTATTAGCCAAACTTGCAAACGTCTGCAGAAGGCAGAATGATGAACTAACATGCACAATCTGAGACCATCGCCTCTGTGTTCTTTGGGTCCCTTAAAGTGCCAATTTCTGCCACCATTCTGGTCAGCCCTTTATGTCACTCTTGGCTGAAGTGCTCAAACAGGAAGGCAGTGCTGTAGTTTGGGTCACTGGCCCACGTTTGAGGACACAGTCCCCATGGGCTGCTACACTGAGGAGGTGGGACTTCCTCAGTCCTCTTCAGGGCTAGTGGGAGGTCTTTATGCCACTGAAGCTATGCCCTCGAAGAGATTCAAGGGCCCTAGGCTCTCGCTCATCCCCTTGCTTCCTGGTCACCAAGGGATCAGCTTTGTTCCACCACCCTCTCCTATCACGATGCACTTCTTTACCACAGGCCCAAAGTCACAAGCTAATCAATCATGGACTGAACCTTCCAACTGAGCCCACATAAACGTTTTTCTCTTGTAAGACGTTTACTTCAGGTATTCTGATGTAAGAACAGAAAAATGACTAACACAGCTACTCAGTTTCCCAAGCTTCCACTTGGCTTTCCCTATACTCAGTGAACCCATCATAAGAACACTGGCCAGAATTTTTGTTACCAAACTTCTCCCTCAAACAGGGAAGCAACTTGGTTATCACAGTATCAGTTCAACCTGTCCAGCAGTCCTTGAAATGCTTCATGTTCCTCCTTTGCAGAAGACCGGATTATTAAATGGCTATGGATCCCTTTGGGAACACAGTGACACCTACCCTGTACGGAGGCGGTGGTTCTTCCTGGTACCCAGGCCCCTCTTCAGTTAGGGGCTCTTGCTGAAAGCACTGGCTCAGGTTCAGAAACTGAGCAAGGGATGACCAATTATATTGGGGTGGTCACCCTCGGGCTTTGTTATCCAACCTTGATTTTGTCTCATGGAACATAAAGTGATCCTTTTGACTATCTATTATGCTTATAAGGGTGTGGTGTTGTATTGCCTGCAGCCTAGGACTCCTTGACTACCACTCCCACTTGACAGCCAGTACACTGTGACCCTCTGACTTTTGGCTATTTACATACCGCCACTAGACCATTGCTTTTCAGCTTTAGCGCATGCTGCCATCAGCAAGCTAAGCTCTGCGGTAGTCTTTCCCTAGCAGCAAGAATGACCCATAGAAATCTATCTTAAATTCAATGCTGCTTGCGCCTTGTCATCAGAGTATCTTCAAGGCCTTGTTAAATGTAGCAGAACTGGCCTCCTGAGAGCTGTCCCACACTGTTTCGTGACACCTGTGCCAAGTTGCTGCTAAATGGTTTCTATTGGGCACTTTCACAGAACATGATCATTTGACAGACCTTCTAGAGCCTATCCATTCTAGTACACACACGTCTCTTGGGCTTTGAAGTCCTTTCCTCCATCTGTCACAGCAAGCCTGGCTCACAATGGGCCATTACTTTTGCCATGCTGCTAAAAGCCTTCTCCCGTCATCCCTGCCAGGGTGTTAAACCCTGTAACTTAGCATAGCTTTAGCCCACAATCCAACAACCCAACGAAGGTACTCCCATTGAACTCTAACTTTCTAGTCTCATGTTCTAGGTCAGTGGTGGCGAACCTATGGCACGCAGTTACTGTTCTTAAGACGAAAGATATTAAAGGTTGGGTTGTTTTTTCCAAACTAAAACCTCAGTACTCGGGTCTAACTGCAGTCTACACTAAGTGGGTTTGGGGTTGTGGTCTTGCACTCAGTCTCTAAAAGGTTTGCCATCACTGCTCTAGGTAAAATTGATTCCAGCCTCAGGCATCCTCCCTTAGCTCATCCCAGTAGCTAGCTCCGTCTTGTCATTCCTCTGCAGCACAGCCTGCTGCTTCAGTTATGGGATCTCACTTTAGCTTTGCTCAACCTTAATTACTCTGAGCCTAGGAAAAAGCAAAGTCCTGAAAAGGGCCCATGCTGCCGAGGCAGAAAGCTCTTTGCAGTTAGGCAGTCTAGGGATGGGGTAAAGAATGCTTGCCGAGATGGCAGGGTGTCATGCAGGCCCGGGAATTAAGTCTAGGGAATAAAACACTTTGGCAGCGTTCACGTGCTATGCCCATCTCTTTAGGTCTCAGGGTTTCCATAAGAGCACCTGACCCGGGCATGACAGATCTCTCCTGGCTGGCAGCCACCTTGGAAGTCTGTCCACTAGAGGTTAGGAAGCCTTGAGGTTGGTCCTCCATTTCTTAGCCCTCCAGCTGTAAGACATGAAAACCTTTTTCCCAGCCAAAGGCCCTCTGGCTTCACACCTGGCTCTCCACTGCCTGTTACTGCCCTCAGCTGTTTCCTGTGACTCTAGAACAAGAATGGGATGGCACGGTCACTCAATTATTCTCCGCACAGCTGTAAAGCCAGCCAGGAGTGTTTCTTCTCTCCCAACAGGATCCCAGCTCAGGTAATGTCAGCTGTAACCTGGGAGTTATGCCGCCAACGGCAGCTTCCAGACAGCTACGCTTTGTCTCTATGTAGGTTTCTGGGGCCAGGGAGATGGCTCAGGGGAATAAGTGCTTCCCTGGCAAGCACAAGGGCCTGAGTTCAATCCCCGGTTCTGGGAAAAAAAAAAAAAAAAAAGTGTAGGTTTCTGTTACCTACTCCCTAACAGGCCAAAGAAAAAGTAAATAAAGCAAATGGGTTACAGAAAAGTATTGAAATGAAAAACAATTTTAAAAAATGAGAAATATAATGTCAAAAGTAATGAAATAGTACTAGATTTATTCAAAAAGAAATTAATATTATTTGTTACTGTGTCTATGAAAACAAGCTAGTTGGTCACCTTTGTCAATACATTTAAGCATTAAAAATAAGTTCTGTTCAGGACATTCATTACAAAGAAATGAATGTGTCAGCTGTTACAAACATGAATGGCTGCTTACCAGCAATATGTAATGAATTTAGGGTACAACAACATACAACTTTCATTCTGTGAAGAGACAACAAACCATTTTATCCATTACATTTTACAAAATCAAATAATGAATCTCTAAGCAATGCTTTTTGATAAAATCGGTAATTTCAAATAAATATATTACCAATCTATCCCTTTGTCCTATACATATGTATCTAACTGCCAAAACCTACCAAATTACTGCAATCAGTTATACTTCAATCCACAATATATTTGTTCAGACCAATAAAGTCTTACCTTTGAAGTGCATTTTCTTATGCTAAAAGCCTTTAAAAACGCTCTGCCCTACTCCTGGGCCTCCTGTGACTAGTCTTTGGCACGAGGCCTAGCTGAGGGCGCTTCTGATAGCCCACACGATTCATGAAGACGCATTTCCTGTTGCTCTCGCCAGCGGCCACCAACAACAGGCAGGCAACTCGTCTAGTTCTCCTGCTCCTCAAAATGGGCATAGCCACTGGCATAGGTCCTTCCTAAATTCAAATTAGTAAACAAGTCTGAGGACTCAGCATCTGAATCCTTTGCACCATCCTCTTCTTCCTCTTCATCGTCCTCCTCCTCCTCCTCCTCCTCCTGGCAGCCAGCGTCGCTGTACTTGTCAGCTGACAGGTTCTTCCAATAAGCATCGTATCCAGAAGCTCCGTCCCCCTCTTCAGTCCCAGCCTGCCTGCCAAATTTCAGGGAGCGTGCTAGAAAAGACAGGCCCACAGCATTCTGTTAATTCCAATCTAAATGCCCTCGTTTTCGTCTATAATAAATAAAAGTACATGAACTTCACTGACTGCTCTCCAATGAAGATGGCCCATTAGTTTTCTAAACTTTGTATGTAATGAATCTGTAGGCACAAGCAACAATGATTATAGGGTCATTTTATTAAATGTAGAATTAGTTTAAAAATTACCCTTCACTTCTACATTAGCAGCAAAACAAAGTTTTGTGCAGGGCAAAGAAATCATACTATATCACTGTGCAACTTTACTTCTGATTAGACGAGACACTGTCAGAGTCGCTTAGAGTTATGCTTTTCTCCTGACATGTTCAGTAGAGTTAAGCTTCTCCCTAACGAACTGTCAGTTGTACTGCTATAATCATGCGTGGAGCAGTCCTACTCCTTCCTAAAAAGTTCTCTAATAGCCGCGAAACAGTTTTCTATAGAAGTGAGGTGCTGCACCACAAGCACTGCTCCAACACCACACACCTGAAGAGGAACTCAGAATGAACCTGACTTTTAATTACTGAAAATCATCACCACTTCAACATTGGGGATGGACTAAATTACTTAATAGCGAAGCCTAACCAAACAGAAAAGTCCTTTTTTCAATCTCAGATTTAAGTATTTCCTTGCACTAAATATCATTATAAATGTTGGTGCTTTTCTTAAGTTAAGCTGAAAAATTACACTTACATTACCAAGATTTAAAAGAAGACACTAAATGTTTCAAAAGTTAAAAAAGGGAATCTATAATATAGAAAACAAAAGTAACTTCTGTCTAAGCTGAAAGCAAATTCCTGCTGGCATCACAGCCTTACTTGACATGCTGAGGTCCTTTGTCTCCTGAGTTTCATGTCCACACTTAGGGCAAGGAGGCTGCTTTCCTTTTTCCTGCTTAAATACCTTGCTTCTTGTATGTTCATCACAGAAACAAGCCTACGTACAAGAAGTAGACAATAAAGTAAGCAGCTAGTTTTTGAAATATTAGCATTTAGTGTTTCACAAGAATTTGAAGATACAGTTGGTTGCAGCCTAGTAACCAAGAACTTTGTTGGGACAGTCACAGTCATGTTTTTAATTTCTTTGGGGAAGTAGTTTTGCCAGGACTCGCTGACCCACGCAGACCACAACCCAGAGACTGACCACATGTAGTGTGGCATGTGGAGGCGAGCGCCCAGCGGTAACACCTGAGAAGCTCCAAGATCCCTGCTGGAACAACAGTTAACAGGGTGCTGACGCTCACAGAGTATGCGGGGCAGTGGCGAAGCAATTACAAGACACTCAACATTGACAGAGAGCGGCAGGGGAGGGGCCAAACAGGAATCTTGGCGAAGGTCTGTAACAGAATGTGGGTACGGAAGGGTAAGCAAAACCGAGTGTCGACCAAAGGCAACCAAACAGACACACGCAATGTCCAGAGCCTGAGAGATCGACACCTTCAATGTGCCGATGGTAGCTGGGACAAGGGAACATAGCTGGGACAGAAAAGAGACTGGGGAACACAAGACCCAGGGAAATGTTTCTGGGAGTAAGGGAGCTGAGCGCATCTGTTTAATAATATGCGACCGCCAGAATGCTGAAGACAGCCTAAAGAAACAGAACACGAGGCAAATTTTCACTCTGCTCAGACTCTTCTAAAAGGATACACTTTAAGATTATTTAAAATATATTCCCAACAGTTTGGTCAGAACCTTCTCTGCAAACATGACATGTAATAAACACTTATGGAAAACCCTGGAGACATGAGCTAGTAGCAACTACACTACAAGCCAGCTGGATAACCAAGCAAGGCCACTTGAGCTTTCTCAACTTCAATTCCGGAACCTCAAACGTTAAACTATATAATTTTAGGTCCCTTATAGATATACATAAGGCTACTGCATGTGGAAACAAAATAGGGATTCAAAATTAAATCTTAAAAAAAGACAAAAAATATATAAGCATACCTTACAACGAAGACACGAATGCTGACCAAGCCGATTACATGAAACACCTACAAAAGACAGATTTGTCTTAAAAATCCTGTCCATTTTTCAGTTCTCATTTTCTTTTTTTATTAAATCAAATATTCTCAATGAAATCACAGCCGTGTGTTCATAGGTGCCTGTGTCTGGAGTCCAAAGCTATACCTACGCAGAGTTCCCAGGCCCCAGATAATGTCATTCCATTTTATATTATACATTCTGCGAGAGCCTTGAAGAAAGCCTCACACGTACAACACACTTTTGAATGTTTTTTAGCCCTTGAGACTTTTCTACATAATGCAAGAATTATATGAAAAAAAGTATATGTGTGTGTGTGTGCTGTATGCATATCTCAGGTCAATGACTTACCAATTTTAAATTTATAGACAAGTATAGAAATTATCAAAAAAAAAAAAAAAAAAAAAAAAAAAGAAAGAAAAAGAAATTATCACTCCATAGCAATTAAAGAACCAAATTAAAAGGAGTGAATCTAAGAATTTCAGTTTGGTTTTTTTCCTATCATGGCAACTACTATTTAATGAAGGCTAAATGCCAAGTACCCCACACTAAGGTTTGCTGTGTATTCTTTTTACAATTAACTTTTTGAGAAAGAAATTATCCAGAAAAGTGACACCATTTTTAACTAAACACTGATTCTCAACCTGAAAATATGTAACAACTACATATGCAAATACAGGTGTCTGGCACCCACCAGACTTTAAAAGATGGGCTCAAAAACAGGCTCTCCAAGCATATGGCCTGGCACCTACGTTTCTTAAAAGCTCCACAGCTTATTTCTGATATACTCTACTATATAAGAACCAGTGCAAACAACTATCAAGAACAAACTTGAGGGCAATGGAAATAGAAGGGGGACATAGGCAGGTCTGAGTGTATAATAACTTGAAGGGGAAGCTGACATCTGAATATCAGAACCAGGAAATCTACAAGTCCTATAATGCCCAGCCAAGCCACAAAATGAAGAAATGACAAGGGGCCGGGATATAGCTCAGCAGCGTAAGTGCCTGACTTACCAAGTGCCTGCCAAGCACAAGGTCCGGAGTTCAATCCCTGGTACTACAACCAAAAAAAGTGGGGGGTGAGGGGATGCAGCCAGATAGCTCAGAGGACTAAAGTATCTGTTTAGGCAGAGCACAGCAGACAGGGTTTGATCCCCAGCATGCCATGCCAGCCCCACCCCCAGGGCAAACTGAGATGGTGATTGAGACTGGGCATAGTGGTGCACACCTGTAATTCCAGAGCTTAGGAGGCTGAAAACAGAAGAATCACTACGAGTCCAATCTATGTAGTGAGACCCTGTAGACCCTGTACTAAATACAAAAAAAAAAAAAAAGAACTGACGAAACTAACACACTACTGACATTTGAAATCTGAAAATTTCCGGACTATGTATTTTCACAAAACAGAAAACAGACACATGAGTAAAATTATGACTCAAGGGGCCGGGGAGATGGCTCAGTAGAATAAGCTCTGAGTTCAATCGCTGGTTCCACAAAGAAAAAAAAGTTATGGCTCATAAAAGACAGCATAAAGACCTGATTCCTTCTTCATTAAACATTTATAATATACATAATCTTAAGTATAAGGAAAGCTAATTATTAAAAAAAAACTTACATTTAAAAGTTTCGGCCTCCAAAACTTGGCAACTGGCTTGATGCTCAAATTGATCGTCTTCACAGAGAAAGTTATGGCAAAAAGAACAACTGAATATTCTGCCTCCTGGTAGATTGAGACAAATCCACAAATATAAATATCATAAAATGAAATTTAGAAAACTCATCTCTAAAACTGCTCAAAAGAAAGTGATTTCTAAGGTGCACAGCCTTTTGCTTTGTGGTAAAAACTGAAAACACTTGAACTCAAACCACAAAATGTATTCCCAGAATACCTTGGCTACATACGCAGTGCTCAAAGAGATCACCTGTTCCCACCATAATTTTCTCTGACCTGCTTAGGTGAATGCTAACATTCACAGTTACTGCTGATACAAATCCTTTTCCCAACGAAAGTGATCATCAATATAGTACAAGTAGTTACAATGGATGGTACTCTTAAAATAATCTTACAAGCTGGCAGTCAGCATGCATAGTCAGCCTTCGCGTGCACAAGACTGACTGTGTGCATTCAGCCACTTACCATGGTCCCACACACCTCGCTCACACTCGGCACACTCCGCATCCGTAAGAGGGCAGGCACAGGCATGGGTGCTGAGGCACTTCCTACCGTGGCAGACCCATGCCTCACAGAAGTCACATATTGCCCCCTGCAACAAGAACAGGACAGTCTGTCACTGTCACTTGATCAGCTGCAATCACTGTCTAAGTAATTGGATCACAATCCTCTATATTTAGTGATTTTTTTCAAACCTCAATGAAAGGGGAAACTCTATGAAAGCTCTTAAAGTTTAAGTCAAAATACAGGGTTCTCTAAAAAACTACTTCACCAATAACTATGTACAACATATAAAACTGCACTGTGCAGCAAAAGAAAAAATAATCAAAGGGCAAGCTATACCCTTCTCCTATAAATTAAGGAGTTGCAAGTATTGCCTTCAAAAGAACTCCAATTCAAAGGAAATTAAGCTTTATTGTCTACAAAAATTTCTTTGAATATGTAAGAAAAATTCACTTTTATTTATAAAATAGTCAAATAATTTTTGTCCAATAACTAAGAAAACACTATCTGCTATTGTTTTTAAAATAACTTATGCTTCAAATCATTACAACCTTTGTGGGGAAAAAAAAGTAAAGCATCTGACACTAAATTGTAGGAGAAAACTCAATTCCACATAAACATGGTAAGAGTATGTCTTTCAATAACAAACTGACACCTGTAGAATATTAATCTAGAAGGAGTAGAGCTAACTGACCTTTCCTTTATAACTGAGCATATTAAGTTCCAAGACTAACTCCAGGTCCCAGCTTTGGATTCTGACTGAGCTGAAATTTAAATGCTGACCTCCTAAACCTCAGTTCATTATTATACTAGTCAAAGCTCTGTAGGTAACAGGAAAAGCAGCAACTAGGAGGAATGATTTTTGATTTGTAAAAGCAGATAATCAGTATAGCCAGCAAGTCCTGTAACTTCACTTAAATCATCCAAGTTCTAGCAAGAAAAAGAAGCCACTTTTAACTTAGATACTGTGGAGAGTTTAAGGAGATAAGTCTACAAATGACAGGAGAGGGCTTCTGAAAAATATCAAGGGATAGCACACATCCACACATGAATAGACAAGGGGAGAGAGGGAGTAATTACCAGTACTGAGACAGGCAAACTGGGGTGAGAACTGCCTGGATGCAGGGGGAAAGTCGGCCTCAAGACAGAGACTTGTATGCTCTGAGAATGTTAGCATAAGTGGAGTGGTTCACTTGACACAAAATAGTATTACCTTCTTCATTAACTGCAATTTGGATGTGAAACATAAAATAACAAAATGCAGTAAAACTGGTAATTCATATTTAATAGAAAATATACTTTTGTGAAAATAAATCCATCAATTTGTTTTTATTTAAAAACCTAAATTTCCTTACAAAATCCTGTATACAATGAAGAGACTGTACATACACACATTTTTGGAATGTATTGCTTAAAAGGAAAAAAAAATCTAATAATCTTACATTCTTTTGGAATTCAGTTGTTAACTTAAAGGTTTGAATACTGGTTAACATACACAGTAAATGATATTTTGTGAAGTCTCCTTAAGGTGCACACGAAAAGTGTCATTGAGAAATGAATTAAGGAGACAGGAGACAAAGCACAGCTATTCAGACCAAAAAAAGAAAACAGAAAAATTGGTCAGAAAGACCTTTTACTCATGCTTGGAAGCTTTACCAAGATAGAACCAACAAGCGGCTTACCACCATTGCAAGGCCGGTACTGTACACACCGGCGTGCTTTATGACACAATCTGAAGACTTCATCATGCACTTGGTCTTTCCTAGTAAAGAAAAAAATGTGCATTCTTAGTCCTGCAAAAGTAGTACAAACAAGTAGTCACTAACTTCTCTTGATCTAGCCTAAGCTTCAAGAAAATGCTTGAAAAAGAAAGCAAATGAAATCAGTATCCTTTACTGTACATAATTAAAAAGAAAAATAAATGTAACTGAGCACTCATCTGAGGTGAACCCTTTGAGATCAGAAATGTACTAATAAGCCTATTAAAATACATGACAAACTTATATGCTAACTCAGCCTGCATTAAAATCAAAAATTGCAGGTTATGCTTACTAAGTTAATTTTGACAGTTTAAAATCGCTTGGATTTTCAGATAAAAACATTTTAAAAAGCCACGCTTTAAACATGAAGTTTACATTTTATAATTTACGCAACCCATCTGTTTATTCATTCGAAAAATTTACAAAGAGCCCCCAGGTAAACATTTTTCTAATAATTCTAACAGAATTTTGAAATAGTGTCCAACTGAGCACAAAAATGAATGCATTATTTCAATTAAAAATTACAACATACTCACAAAAGGTTTGAAAACTACCAACCTAAAACACTGCCAGAAAACCTGGTATTATGCGAAGATTAACGATGGCACATTAATCATGCATCTGAGACTTTACAAAGTAGGACAGCAGAGAAAAAGATGCTTAACGTTCTAGTACCTTGATTTCCTGAGGAGCAAAGCCAGACAACAGGAAACGGGAAGGGAAACTGGGAATGCAGCAGCTACCCGCCAACTGCTCCATGCCTAACGCTAACGACAGCACACTGGAAACGCACCCAAGTACTCCACTAAAATATCCACGCCCAGAGACTAGACTAAAGTCTGGTGGGATCCAACCTCTACATCTCCCACAAAATCTAGTTTCTCATTTTACATTTATCTGCCCTGCACAAAATAAAGATGTAAAAGCAGGTACACCAGTCATCCATGCAGGCCGGATTTCTTTTCCATCAATTGCAGAATACAAAAAATATATCACTGAAAGCGAGAAACACCCTAGAAATATTCAAAGATGCAGTCCCAAACACTGCTTACCATCGGCACCATGAGTACATTTAGATACAAGAAATGGAGACAGTCAAATTGTTCTACCTGAAACTATCATCCCAAAAATAAAGGAGATGCTCGTTCAAATAAAAATTTGAGGGGTAGATCTGGAGCAAATAAAAACTAAATAGGTGTCTTTATCGAAGATCCCCAGAACTTTGAACATACAAATATGTACTAGAAACCTAGAAGTGTAACTAAAATCTGAAAGGTGCAATGGATACTGTGAAAGGGAAAGTTTGTTCACTGGGAAGGAAGGGCTGGGATGAGGAAGACGACAAATGAAAGAGGGGAGGAGGACACTTTTAAGTACACATGCAGAATAGTTCGGATGGTTGCACTGCTGATCTCAGCTGGTCTTTTGAAAGGGGCAGTTAATGCTTAAGACATTTTTCTATTTATTCCTTCTGTTTTCTCTTTCTCTTGAATTTCTTACAACTTTTTTGTTACTTTTTTGTTTTTTCTCTAAACCAGTATGGCTGGTGACCTGAACGGCTGGCGCAGGGTGGCACCTTGCAGTACGGCAGCCGCTGCGGAGCTCCTACTGCTTTCTTTGGTTGAATTTTGTATCGTTTCTGATGCTGGGGTTTTTTTCCCCCTATTACTATTATGTCCTCTTTTAAAAAATAAAAAAGATACCCATAAGACTAAGGTGGTATAATTAGAGATTCAGAATCACCAAATGTTTAGTCTGAAGGTTTTTTTTAATATTTAAAATAGCTTGCTAGCACCTGTACCTATATCTTACCTTATTTTCTACTATACATCAAAGAAGTAAAAATTTGATGTTTTCTGAGAGTCCAAAGAACAACTGATGTTATTTCACTAGTAGTAAGACAATATTATTGTAAATAATAACAAATCCAGATTCAAATTGATTAACTGTCAAGAAGCATGGGTTCTTCTATACTTACCACACTGTGCGCAGATTGGTAACTTCTGAACAGCATTACAAAAGTAACAAAATGCTCTATTCTTCTGCCGTCTTGTCATGTAAAATAAAAATTTTAAATAAGATAAACGTCAAATAAAAGACAGAAGGGGCTACTTTATTATATGGATATAGAAAAAAATTTACCTCTGACACTTGTCACATTCCTATAAAAAGTAAAAACATCATTAACTTTCTGTTCAGTATCTTGTATTCCAATTACAATTTAAATAGTATTACATCAAATACCCCATTTCCACCACATATGAAAGCAGCTATATATATTTAAACAATAAACATACACTCTATCCATACCACACTAGAAAAGTGGCATCATAAAAGAAACAATGCAGTGGTGTTTTATTCCCCATTTTTTTAAGAAGTCAAATGCTACAGAATGAACACAAGAAACAGTAAACACAAAAGATCACAGAATATGCACATTTAAATACAGCTTTAAAAGAACTGATCCCCACAGCACTTTTCCAATCTTGCAGGTCCACTCTCTTTGGAGGATACCAACACTGTTCTGCCTTTTTCCCAGGCATAGCTCGAACTCTCTCTTCTCCACACTTCTCCTTACTCTAATGCTTTTTGTTGACTCTCCACCTAATGGAAATTCTAGTGATAATCCCACCTTCTCTGGGACTGCATCCCTACACACACACAATTTTATCATCTCTTACCCCTAATAAATGTATCTTTATTAAAATATTTACCAAGCTGTACTCTCATTACATACATTCATATATGCCCACCCCTGTTTTCTGCCTAGAACCCCTCTTCTTGTGAAATGACGTGACACACACAGCAGTCCCTACTGTCACTCCTACCCTATGTAATCCTGCCGTTCCCTTCCATAAATGTTAGTGCTGGGATAACACTAGCTCGTGACAAACACATAATAGAGTTCCTTCTGAGCTCAGCAACAGAAAAAGAGATATATGGAAGCTACAAGCAACTAGGAAGCAAAGCAAATAAAGTCAGAGAAAACAGAATACGCAAAACTGAATGAAAGACAAAGGGTGGACCTCTACCCATCCCAGTGTATGACAAGCTGTGGTCCAACTACATAATGAATGATTAAATTCAGAACCTGTATTAAAGAGCCACACTGCCATTTGCTCCCTCAAAATACTCTCCTCGCTCTGAACACACTTATCCCAACATTCTTGCCCCTTTCTGAAGGAGTTTTCGAAGTCCTCTTTCATGAGTGTTCTCGGGAGATGTGATCAACAGCACTGTAAATGCTGCTGGTGAGTTCCATTCAACAGAAGAAAAGGCTTTAAAAAAATCAGTTTTTCATCCACCTTCCTCAGTAGAACGGCACCACAGGACTTCTGACTTGTCCCCAAAGTCAAAGGGATCATGAAAGATCAATGTTTGTAACCAATTCAGGACTCTGAAGTAGGCGTGAGAGCACAACTGAAGACGCCAAAAGGGCCTTCAGAACTGGTTCAGAATGTGGCAGAAATGATGGGATAAGTACATTCAAAGCACAGACGAGCATTTTGCAGATCAATAGCAATGTGTCTGCTACAATAATTAATTTGTCTTTAAATGTAAGCATCTAATTCTACCTCATAGCTACAGCCCTCCCTTTTCAGCTACTTGCATTAATCCATTATCCACTCAATAAACTATTTTCCCCACAATTATGTAAGTTCAATTTCTATCATTTATAAACAAACAACTGAACTGTAAGCTTGTAGTTCAGGGACACCAGCTCATTCATCTATAAAACACCATAGTACCTTAAAACAGTACCCAAGGAGCCAGCCAAATACCTCAGCGGATTAGGTCAGGGGTTCAATACCTGTGCCTGCTGTGCCGGCCCCACCCCAGGGGCACACTGAGATGGCAATTGAGACTGGGTGTGGTGGCACATGCCTGTAATCCCAACTTTTGGGAGGCTGTAAACAGGCAGATCACTATGAGTCCAATCTAGTAGTGAGACCTTAAATATCCTGTAGACCCTTCTCTAAAATACAAAAATAAATAAATAAAACAGTACCCAGCAGAGTAGATATACAATAAATGTTTACTAAATTAAGGCACATAAAGCATTTCACATACATTTGATGAAGCTAAAGGCAAAAAAGTGAGGAGGAAATTGTGATAGGGCAAGAGTGTGAAAATATGGAGAAATGAGAATGACAACATGATAATCATGTGCCATCTCACAACTTTCCCCAAAGCAGCCAGAAATCATCAAGATTCATCCATTAAGACCAGGAATAAAAGGTAATAATAGGACAAGTAGCTAAAAGAGACATCAACAAGTTAGGAAGATCAACAAAAAGAAACAAGTTAACCAAGAATTGCTAAGAGAAAATGATGGCAACCCAAAGACAAGCTGAGTGAAAGGATGCAAAGGTGATGTCACATAGTGGTAAACGCCACACAGTTCCTGTTATTGACTCTTGCTCAGTATCATTTACCACAGATATGGGAGGTAACATGCTAGGTTTTATAAATAATAATCAAAAACGACCGCTAGGCGAAACGAAGAACATGCTTCTCACACTGGTTCTGGATTAAGTAATGTAATATACGCAGAAACCTTGTACTCACGAAATTGTTCTCGGGTGGATACACAAAGAATCTTAAATACCAACTGTTATTTCTTAAAAACCTGTTACCATTGAAGCATTGCACGGGTGCTTGGCTAGGTCTACAGTGCTCCTTGACGCCCTCAGCTGCTTTTCGCGTTCCCTTCGGTTCTCAGCCTTCTTCCGGGCACCAGTCTTTTTTTTAGGCATTTTCTGCTCTTTCTGCACAAAAAACAACAAGGAAAAAAAAACAGCAAAGGGGTAACTGTCAGGTTTCATTTACTATTTTAATAAACAACAAGAACAATAATAATAATAATAAAATATTCTTACTCTCCTTGAATTTTAGTAGTCTGATATTTTCATGGTTAAGCAAACTATAAACCTTTATGAAACAAGCACACATTAATCCAAATAAAACAAAACACTTTTACTACCAAACTCTTAAAAAATGTAAACATAAACAGAAATTATCCTAAAATTTTGCCCTAAGGCTTAGAGATGCACCTTGTTTTAAAAAATAAAAAATAAAAAAAAAATACGCACGTATCATCAAGAAGTCATTTAAAAACATATTTTTCAATCTGAATTGCTTTTAGGGGTCTATATTCAGGTAATTCAATTCCGCCAAAACACTGAGTGAAACAAATCTGATCAGGTAATATGTAAATAAAACATCACAGCTGAGTTAAATGTACTCAAACCACTGTCTTGGTATCAGAAACACTACAGGTATTAAAACCTGAAAGCTGCCCTTCCTACACGCAGGGAGCTCTTCCATATGCAGTTGTGACAGTGTGCATAAGCAATGTACAGGAGTACACACGTGTGCTCTACTATTTAAAAGTAAGGACTTTTAAAACTGGCTTTCATCCCTTCACCTAAAAAACTATAGCACCTAGAGGAGCAAGCCGTCTTTAAACCGCAGCTTTCTGAAATCACCTGTCCACTCAAAACCCCAGAGGGGGCAGGGCGGCACGGACCGCACGCACCAGTCTTAGAGTCAACAGCGTTCAGGTCACTCGGAAAGGTCACTTCGCAGAGCTTAAAACGAAAACTCCAGAGCGTGCGCTGCCCTGGGCAACAGCGGCCAGAAAACAGGCACGGGGTGATCACGCGGCGACATTCCTGCGCGCCCCAAGGCGTCTTCTGACCTCGCTAAGCACAAGTGAGCCTCATCCTTCCCTCCGACTCCTACGGCCCCTTAGGGGTAAAGGCCGTCCCCCAGCCTCACAGAGGCGTTCAAAGGGAGTCGCCCGGCCCGCGAACCAGGGAACGGCAGGGTCACGGGGTTCAGAGGCCGGCCCGCAGTCGGGGACCCCCCAGGAGGCGGGACGCCCTGAAGTGACAGACGGTCGCCACGCGGCTCCGGGCTGCGGCGCGGGGCACGGTACCTCGCGCGGCCCACCTCGGGGCGGCCCGGCTCACGCGGGGTCCAGGAGCTGAAAGGCGCCGCGCCGGCACGCAACCCGACCCCGGGACCAGGACTCCGGAAAACGTTCTTCCACCCCGACGACCGACCCACCGACAGCGCTGGTTTCCGACACCCGGAGAAGACCCGGATGTCCTTCTACGTCACGGCTCCCTTACGGCGCACGTCACCGGAAACGGCTCGTCGAGCCCCGCCCACCTTGTGCGACCCGCCTCTCGTGCCCCTTTTGAGGAACGGGAGGCTCATTGAGAAGGCAAGTTGTGACGCGGAGAGGACGCTGGGGCAATGGAGTGCAAGGCAGAGAGGGACTGAGGGCCTAGGAATCGTATTTAAAAATTGAAAAACATAAAAGGAAGCAAAAAAATCTTGAAGAGAAGTCACCCAAACAATTGGAAACCATTGCACTATCTCGTCTCCCATGCTTCGCATCACAGACTGGCCTTCAGTTGCCTGATGAAGTTTGGGTCCACCTTCCTCTGTTTCCTGCTTCCCGTGTCCTCGGGTTCCTTCCTTTATGAGTACATTCTGTCGCATTCTCAGATGTGTGCTCTGCCTTATTACCCTCTGCTGGGGAAGCCTCTGGCTTTCAATTTCACTGAAGGGAGGCTTTCTGTTTCTACCCAGCCCTTGCCCCTCAGTGAGGAAGACAGAGCCCGGTACCCCATTGTCACACAGGCCATCGGGACTCCGTTCTGTCTGACTGTGTCACTTATCCTTCATCGCTGCTGTTTTATCCTCTCTCTTTATTAATGAAAGCCTGACATCCCTTCTGCCTCTGCCATCATCCATCATCACCTTAACAGGTAAGTAGAAGGCCTACTCTCCTAAGTCCCTGATTTCATCTGCAGCAGCCATTACTTCTGCTCTACTCTAGGAATCCACTTTCCTGACTATACCTCAGGGCTTGTCACCAAATGGAACCGTTCTATCACTCAAAAGTAAAGTGCAAATGTCTGACTATCCAAACATCCTGTTTTCCCTCACACAATTTTCCCTCCTCTTAGAGTCTTCAGATTTCTTCATCGCTGTATTTTCTCTTGATCATCTCTGCTTCCTCCTGTCTTCTTTTTTAGTAGCTTTGTAAAACACAGTTCATTTCTTCATTCCACAATGTGTCACGTTTTCTTTCTGATTAAACCAACTGGAATTCTGGAGATTTGACTTTTTTCACCTATTTAGCCTTGTGAAGGGCTGGTAGAGAAAGAAGAAAAAAGAAAGCCAGGGTGAAGTGAGGTGGGGAAAGGGGAGGGGAGGGAAAAAGAGACACACAATCGTGATTCAACTTTAAATTCGTGGTCACCAGATCAATAACCTCTCAGAAATGCCCTCCAATCCCCCTACATTGTCCAAATTGACTCTGTCATTCAGATTTGTCACATAACTATCAAATCTTCCTTTCCTCAACCTTACAGCAGTACTTCAATTTTAACACATTTTACCACTTCTGAATTCACAGAGAAAAATAGAATAATATTAATAACAGCTAACATATAATAATTTTTGTTCCTGGCCTAATTACTTTCTGTGTGTAGCATTAACTCAATTTTACACAAGAGGAAATCCAGGTGGAGACACAATTACACTGCCCCAAGATTACATGGATAATTTGGCTTGTGTTGTCATTTAATGCAGCAGTTTGCAAATATTTTGGCCTAAAGGACCCTTAAGAACTTCTGAGGGCCATAATAAGTTATCTCTGTGAGCTCTATCTATTAAAATTTACTATGTAAGAAATTCAAATTGATAAAATTTTAAAATATTTCTTAATTCATTAAATATCATTCAGTAAATGATAACATGTTAATAGAGTAGTATTTATATGAAACAGAACAGTGCTTTCTGAGACAAAAAAAATAGAAGCATAAAACTGCCTTTTAATTTTACAAATCTCTTTAATGTGATGCTTAATAGAAGAGAGGTGGATTCCTATGTCGTGCCATATAAAAAATTTTTGCTATTTCCTTTTTCCCAAAGTACAGTTTTCCAGAGAAAGCAGAAAGTACTCTCTGAGAAAGAACTGGGGAAATCACTAGCATGTACATTTTTTATGACATCCCAGAGCCTTCCATCCTTGGGACCTGGCCTTTGCTAGGTTGATAGTCTACAGATCCAAAAGCTGGCTCATACCTAGAAACTGGACCAGGACATGTGACCCACTATTGCACCATTGTCCCTCAGCATCTTGACCATACATACCTTCTTTGATTGTACCAGCCGAGCAGTATCTTAATTTGCTGCCTATTGATTTTATCCCTAGGGACAAAATTTGCTGTATATCTCTTAACCTCAGGGCCGTACCCCACTCCCTTATTTCCGCACAGCTCTTGTTGCTCATTATGCTATCTGGACCAGGGTATGTTGTAACTTGACCCTACCTGTAGATTGAGTGGTGAGGACAGCTGGAAGCAGACCTTGACAGTGGCATAGTTTATATTGCAAAGAGAAGCCTTCTGGTGGTTTTCAAGCCAAAGGGAGCAATAGCCATTAGTCAGGAATACTGGGTCACATTCCAGCATAGAGGGTTCAAGAGAATCTGGAAATTGAAGATTCTGAGGCATTCCCACCTAGCCAGCTCAATCAGCGGCTCTTTCTTTCTGATGTAGCCCTATGGCTTTGGCATAGCAACCTGCTGGGGCCTGTGGTTAATCTCTTTTGGAGCGCTGCCACACTTACGATTAAAGTGCCAGGCCTGTTCCTCAGCTGTTCCTGCCATTGCATGCAGGATAAAAGCCTCTTTATTTGCTACCAAAAAGAGCTTCTCAATTATCCTCTTAGATTGAAATAGCCAATTAACCACTCAGCATTTTATGAGTTCCAAAAATCAATTTTACTTAGCAACAGTCAATGTTTCTGTCCCTAAGGTTAGTGTTTCCCTCATATTTCTCAAATGCCTGATTCATTACACCCACTAGAATATTCTTTCCATTAGAAAATCAACACAGTTCATTACTGCTCAAAGTTTTAACTACTGCAGTTACCTCCTGCCATGGTCTCTCTGTCTTATACCTGTCATCTGTGAGGAGGTCCTCCCAGGCAGTAATGTGGCTATTATTCAAGTCATAGACCCATCTCAATGTCTACTTTCTTGGGCAAGTTCTGGAAATGACTGTCTTAGATTGACTTATGCAGCTGGTGCACTCTGAATCACAGATGAGGATAAGAACTATATTTGAGAATGCTTTGGGGAGCACCAGCTATGAAGGGAGTGAACCAGCATTAGACAGAGGAAACAACTGCTCTTCCGTACATTCCACATGAAGGGCTCAGCTTTGAAGCCAAGATATCTTTACAGAGTTATTTTGAGTTAGAGCAGGTAGACTGGGCCTTTATACACCTGCAGCATTCACTCACTGCATGCAGGCTTCCAAAAGGGTGGCTTGTGACCTTGACCTAGTCTACTTGTGAAGGGGGCCAGTAGTCAAATGTTATCACCTTATTGCACTCCCAGCAACTGAGGAATTAACCCCATCATCCAGAGAGAATGATGGCAAAAGAAATATTTAGACAAGCACAAAAAATCCTGTTGTTCACAGATACTCAATGAAAGAGTTCCAAAAGATGTGCTTCAGGAAGATGAAAATTCAAACAGAAAGAAGGAAAGAATAAAGAAAGGAATAATTCATTTAACATATAGGAGAAATCTGAAACATGTAATTACATCACATATATTGATAAGTAATTTTTATGAACTCTATACAGAACTAAAATATGTCTTGGTACATTGTACCCACTAGAATATTCTTTCCATTAGAAAATCTACATAATTCATTACTGATCACAGTTTTAACTACTGCAGTTACCTCCTGCCCCAGTCTATGTCTTATACCTGTCACTGGCAAGGAGGTCCTCCCAGGCAGTCAAGTGGCTAATATAATACAATTCAAATCAGACCTTGACAGAGATATGCTTTAACAATTCGATTGATCTTAAAATTCATGGGAGCAAAAGCCATCATAAAACCAGATAACTTTAAACAGAAGCAGAAGAAGGGTACCTTTATTTATTTTAAAGCTCTACTATAGTTATCAGCTGCCACAATAAACACAAGTAACTGATAGAAGGCTTAGCTACAGATACAAGAACATTTGGGTAAGTAATGTAGGACGTATTTGCAAAAGTGACAAGAGATGTATTATTTAACAAATAAGTCAAATTCTTTTGGTTCATGAAAATAAAATTACATATCTGTTTAAAAGCGAAGATAAAATAAATTTCATATGAATTAAAAGATTTTAATGTAAATACATTAGTATATTGATAATATATTATAAATTGTATATTAGATCTTAATATAAATAATTATTAGCAATAATGTCAAACTAGTATAAGGAAATACCTTTTGTTTGGAGATAATTTCTAAAGACACAAAAAGGAAAAAACTAAAGAAAATAATAAGCTTAACTAAAAAATTAAAACTTCATTGTAACAGAAGACATCCTAAATACAAAAAGGAAAAATTAAAAATGAAGATGAGTCTTCATTTCTGTATAACTTGTAACAGATTTATAGACAGAATAAATGAAATACTATTGTTCAGTTAAAAAAACTGTATAAACAGTCTGAAAGACTCAGACAAATTATAGAACTGGAAATCTAATAACCCAAATCAATACCAACGTGAGGTGTCATTTAATGCCTATAAGAATAGCCAATTTTTTAAAGGCTTAATATGTTGAGTAAAGGTAGGGGAGAAATTTTAATATAGTAAACCTGTTGTGGAGAGCCAGTTGGCCATGTTGAATACAGGAAAATGTGTGCAGACCAAAAGATTCTGAAATTCCTTTCCTAGGTCTCTAACAAATGAAATAGTCTGCAAATGCCCCTATGGTATCATAGAACAGTTTGATAACAAATTTTAAACAATCTCTGTTTTAATAAAGGAAAATAAATCACAGGCTAATTACATAGCAATTAAGATTCATTAACTTACTATTTAAGTACCAACCAAAGTAATCC